GAAAATCGAAGTTTTAAAAAAAGCTTAAATCAATTTCCAAAAGTAGGCAGTCACCTTAAAATACAGCTATTTCAAAAAAAGGTTTATCAGAGGTTTTGTTGTATGCTGCATACCAACCTTAAAATGTATCATATTCATATGTAAATAACGTCTGCACAGAAGAAATTATGCCAGAAAAACACGCAGATAAAGGTTTGGAAAATTCATTATTGTTGTGACCTTTCACTGGGATTTGATTCCCATTTCCCATAGTGTATTTCAGGCTTGGTATGCAACATGCAACAAAACCTTCACCAACCTTTTTTTGAAATAGGTGTATTTTAAGTGACAGTGAAACATTTTGAGCCAGAATTCCAGCTTGCTTAGCGGCCCTTTGTGTGGGCTGGTCGGGGATCTCTACGCATGCAGGATATCAGAATTTCGTGAAGCTTGAGTTTTGAATAGCTTTAGAGGCACCGACGGAATGAAGGACGGAGTTATTATTGTTATTATAATCTAACGAATGAAAATAAGAATCAAATATAAAACGTAATTTAGCAGTGGAATTTTCCACAGAGTAATTTTTCATCTACTTAAATCCAATTAGAATTTAAAGTTGGGTTTTTGCGGACGGAGGAAAAAACGAAGAACCTAGAGTAAAACCCTTGAAGCACAGGAGAGAACCAACTCTACTCACGTACGACCTTAGTGAGAGGCGAACGCTCTCACCACTACGCCGCCAGTCGCTTCAGTATATATCAATAACAAATATAATATTTAATCTTACCTAAAAAGGTTGAGATACCAGACGACATTCATCGAAAGCAAAGGAACGAGCTCGTAGTCACATTGGTTTAGTGACTTACAAATCACGATAGAAAGTAGATGTTTGAACTCGTCGATAGTCAGACGACGTGATGTTGATCCCTGCATTAAAACAATACGAGTCTAAAAATAATGCAACAACAAGTGTGCGCTTCTCGTAGTATAAACCAGGGTCCAGTTGTACCAAGGGTGGATAGCGCTATCCGACGGATATAACTTTCTCTCACCTCTGTTTGAAACTCCTCAACGTCAACCCTAGAGCTCCACTGCTCCGCCAGGTCAGGTATTGGCTTTCTATGCTCACTCTTCTCTCTGGTCTTCTTCCTTTCTTTATCATCTTCCCCAGTCCCTCCACTTAGCAGCCTGTACCAAAGTAGGTCGCGCTTACAGTGGGTCTGGGCTTGACATACTACATGTAGTAGAAGATCATGCGCTTTTTGTGATGACTCGTTGAGAAGAGCTATTTCCCGAGTTGTTCTTCCATCAAGGCTGCTTATTGCACCAGACGAGTACAAATGAGGTCTGGCAGACAAGCTCTTTTTGGCGATATTTTCCTCTGAGTGAGACTGGAACATGGAAGAATTGGCGATTTCTAGTACCATCTTGTTAAGAGAGTGGGGAGAGGACGCTGACCGGTGGAACGACTGAATCTCAGCTTCTGTTAAAAGTGGTTTGCCTTTACGTTCTGGTGAGCGTTTTACATTCTTGTTTGGTGCAGTTGAGACATTTTGAGCAAATCTTACGCGCGAACCTGCAAATATTGCGGAAAGATGGTGTAATTTTACATAGCAGCTAACATTAATTTTGCGTTCCTGGTTACTGCAATTTTCATAAACATGCAAACTCTGTGTCTCGAGTTGCACGCAGAAATTTGGTTTTTCGCTGYCGCCAGTCAAAAATATGAAAGGTACCGACTGATTAGGTTTGATTGACGGCAGCGAAAAACTAAATTTCAGCACGCAGCTCGCAGACACAGAGTTCGCATGTTTATAAAAATTGCAGTAACTTAACGCAATAAGCTATAAGCTCATTTATAAGTATTYAAAGGGAAACTTGCACGTAAATCTTCCGAACTTTAATCAGGCCGAAACTTCAATGGAGTAATCTTTAAGGGTGTCATAATCACTGGTTAAAGTATTTTCTTTATATCCCAATGGGAAGTATTATATTTTTACGAATTTCTAAAGGTGTCTGTGATGACATACACTCAACACTAAACATCGCTCCATACATTTCTTCGTAAATAATTTCATGTTTTACTCTTTTTCTATTAAGCCCAAAGGTCCGCCGAAGGACTTAACGTACATAACATGTGGTTAGAATCATTTTATGGTATCTTTTCTTCAATACTGAGAATAAAGCTAGCGGATATTTTGATTACGAAATACAAAGAAATGTATGGAGCGATGTTTAGTGTCGAGTGTATGAAGTCACAGCCTCCTATAAAAATACAATACTTCCAATAAGCCTGAAGCGAGATGACGTTTTACCTCCGTCTCTAGACCATAATCCTTTTCACACTGCTTTTGTTCTTTAATTATGACTATTGTTCCTGTATTCTCTAAGGAATCAAAAATTTTAAAATGAAAGAATTTTAAAAACTATTATGGTATAGAGTCGGGGGTAAAACGTCATCTCGCTTCTGGCTTATTGGAATAAAACTGTGAAGTTTGAATGGAATAAGTTTAAAACTTGCGAAAATATGATAATGATAGTACCTTTGTGCTGAAGATTGCCTGTCTCCTCCACCTGTGTAGCAGTTGCCACATGACTGAGTGACAGCTTTGGAAACAGCTCTCTTCGACTGGTCATTAGAATATAGTACTCCATATTAATGACACTGCTTTCGAAGGAGTTCTTGAGAGTGACAGCTAATGTTATATCATATTCTTTATTATCCCGTAGATGGGTATATAGAGTGTTGTCAGCGTGACGGCTTGATGTGAGGATCTGGTCTGATCCTAGAAGAATGGAGCTTACTTCCCCTGGGACCACTGTGTTGATTTTGATCGTGCTGAAGTCGTATTCTGTAGAATGTTTGACGATGTACTTGAAGACGTTGGTTGAAGTGATGATCGGTTCACAGGGCACAGCGATTTCACCTGTGAAAATAGGAAATGTCGATGCTGTTATTCAATACTCCCATTTCGAGTTCGCCTTTGCTCAGTCTTAGCCTCGATTGTGTACAAATGTGTACTTTTCTTTTAATAAGGTCCATTGTATAGTAAGGAATGTACGTACTACGGAACAATACGAGTTGATTAAAATGCCACGGGTTTTGGTTGAATAATATTATAACACACACCCGAGACTAAGGCTAAGCAAAGAGAAATCGAAACTGGAGTATTTATGGCAAAATATTGCAAATAAGCCTGAAGCGAGATGACGTTTTACCCCCGACTCTATACCATAATAGTTTTAAAAATGCTTTCATATTAAAATTTTTGATTCCTTAGAGAATACAGGAACAATAGTCATAATTAAAGAACAAAAGCAGTGTGAAAAGGATTCTGGTCTAGAGACGGGGGGTAAAACGTCATCTCGCTTCAGGCTTATTCCGTGCAACATTCTTCGYTTGCACGTTACGTCATCGCGGCCATGTTAGTACCATTTAACAAAAGATTTCTCATTAGCATCCATTGTTAACGGTACCACAATGGCCACCATGTTTTTGTCTTTTAACTCTCTTGGGAATGCTTGAAACCCATCAATTTGAGGAAGCGTGTATAGGGTCTAAAATGGACCAAATCCCCTCCTGATACCATAATGTTAAACCCTTGAATTGCTTCTGCGCCAGATAAGTAGTTAGTTTTGGATAAAAAGGGAAGGAAATAATAATATTTTCATAATAATATTTTCTTGATTTAAATAAAGGCTCACTTTAGTGCCAAAAATTTAGTGAATGAAAGGGCAGTGTTAGGTAGCAGAGAAATCCTACCTTTGCATATATGGTTTCTTGCAAACCCTGGATAATCAGGGTGTCTTCGGAGAATTTCAGCAAGGAGATCCATGATTCTGTAGCCCTCGTGAAAGATCATCTGCAGTCCACTCAGGTATGACTGGGCTTGACGAAGGTGGAAGTCATAGTTAAACGATAATAAATGGACGTAGTCTTTGTAATGAGAGCAATCCTCATGGAATATACGGATAATCTAAGGCATAAAATAGACTGTTTAGTTAAGGAAACTAGAAAACGAAAGTAGATCAGTTAGTGGAGGGGTCGGTCGATAGTAGAAAGTAGGTTGGTTAATGGGAAGTCGATCGGTATTAAGAGGTTCCAATAAAATAGACTTTTTAGTTGGTTAAGGGACCTAGAAAATTACAAAAGTAGGTCGGATAATGGGGTGTCGATCGGTATTAAGAGGTTTCAATGAAAAAGACTGTTTAGTTAACTAAGGGACCTGGAAAACGAAAGTCGATCGGTATTAAGAGGTTCCAATAAAATAGACTTTTTAGTTAGTTAAGGGACCTGGAAAACGAAAGTAGGTCGCTTAATGGAGTCGTCGGTCGGTAGTAAAAAGTTGTAACTGAGATGACCTTCGTACATTCAATCTCATACATCACCAGATAAGCATAGCTTTCTCACAATATAAGGAAAKTAAATGCAAAAAATTTTTTCGTAGGAGCAATTTTCTTTATTTGGTGGGGTTTTTGTTATCGACTCTCTCATACATTTGTGTGTTGAATTGTCCTATTTTATAATGACGTCRCGGTTTGTTTACATCGGCTAACATGATAGAAATGTAGGCTAAATTTAAGCTTAATTCTCTTCTTTCGAGATATTTAGCGTAATATTTAGCTGTTCTTCCCTTCACCAGCTCATAAACCAAATTTCATTGTGATTTAGATGTGTTGTTGTCATTCCATCCCCCTCAAGCGACCATGATCCCTACCGTTAGAACAATAGTTTGTGACGTCATTATGAAATAGGACAATTTTCTATCAAGACTTACGTGAGGACCGACGTTCTTTCCTGATGGGATGCGAGAACAGTCGATGGAATACAGACGAACATAGAAGTACAAGCCCTGGAAATAATAAATAAAATCACGGGGGGAAAAGTAGATAATGAACTAATGGATAGATAATTAAAACAGGGGAATAAATAACTAGATGAAAGGGAGGTAGGGATGGATGGATGGATGGATGGATGGAAGGATGGATGGAAGAATGGATGGCTGGATGGCTGGATGGCTGGATGGCTGGATGGATGGCAGGGATAGATGGATAGATAAACACAGGTCTCATCTCGTTTTTACCTGAAAGAGCAGTTCCATCAGCATAATTCCACCAAACGAAGTTTTCTGTAGGAATTGATGAAAAACACGATGGTTGTCGGAGCTGGTGCGAGACAGGGGCTGAGAAGCAAATGATATATAAATAAAAGTTATTCTTCAAAAGCAGCATGCAATTATACCATATATCAAGTACATATCGCATACTCCAGTTGCTCTACGATATTACTCGTTTATTTCATTTCCTTTCTACGTTTTTCCTTTCCTTTCCTTTCGTTTTCCCTTTCCTTAACTTTCTTTTCTTTTCGTTCTCTTTCCTTCACTTTCCTTTTCTCCACTTTCCTTTCCTTTCTTTCTCTCTCTTTTTCTTCCTTTCTACATAACATACATAACAAATAACATAAACTTCATTCCTCCCCCCCCCCCCCCCCCCAATTAATATTTATTATACCTGCTTCTTGTAATCAGCTGGTGCGTTGTTCTTGGTTTTAGAATGACCAGCACGACGAGAAAGCTTCTTGGAACTAAAACCACCAATAAGAAAAACATTTCGCATCAACCTAACATTTTGTAAAGTGACTGTCCCAGAATATGGCAAATTGTCGAATAACGAATCTGGCTCACAGTAATTAGGCCTGATGCGTCCATAGCAAAGGAATCGTAGTTCTAGAATTTTAATGGGAAAAAACATCGCTATTTATCGCATGACAATATACAATAATTGGATGAGGTAGAACATGATCTCGTTAATTATCACGACCATGGCTGTGTTATCTGCCTAAGCCGTAGGCTGTGTAATAATAAATCTATTATCTGTAAATTTGTTTGCGGATAATAGATTTATCCTGTGAATTTCGCGAGATATCAGGGATTAGCTGTAGTCTCTCGACCAATGAGAAGCGAGGTAAAATGTATAATAAAGATTAATACTAGTTCCATCCAATCTGCTGCCTTACCCTTTGGCAGGTTTAGGTGACTGAGGCCTAGTCTGCACCACAACGAACTGCAAGGACTGCATAAACTGGATATACTGTTGCATAAACGCAGAGCGAAGATCTTTGTGCCAGCTTTCTTCGGGTTCGTCTGTTATAGAATCCTGCTCTGCTTCTAGACTTGGTTCTTCAGTCGATTCTTGGTTCGATTTGTTCTGTAATTTTTTCCTCCAATCAGGATGGAATAGCAACGGGCATGCGCAGTAGTGAATCAATCGAGAGGAACGTTTGAGGATTTTAAGTTTATCATCCTATTAAATAAATCAATAAAATTATAATTATTATAAATCATTTATAAGCAGCAGTAAGGGGGACTCGCGATTGATGCCGTATATTTGCGGGTTTTACCCGGGAAATTACGAACGCGGGTACAGCAGATTTACGGGATTTCCCGCGAAAAGTCCCTTACTGCTGCTGTGTTGGGTACTGCAAACGAAGTATAAGGTATTCTGTTGGATATACGATG